GGCACAGGATACAACAGGGTTTAGGGCTGTTTTACATAGGCTCACTATGAGTCACAGGCAATTCAATGGCATATAACAACAACAACAACAAACAATATCCTATCACAACAAACTGTGGTTAACACTGAGAAGAATGGGAATCCTAGAACATTTGACCTTGCTTATGTGAAACCTATACTTGGACCAGCAGGACAGACATCAGCACAGAGCAAGGAAATACTGCATGGTTCAAAATCAGGAAAGATGTACCTCCCTACCTTTTCCATCTGTATGAAAAGATCATCTGGGAGGCTGGATTCTACAAGGAGGAATGTGACCTCAGGATTGAAAGAAGACTCATCAACAACCTGCATTATGCAGATGACACAATCTTGCTTACCAAAACTGAGGAAAGCCTGAGACATTTGCTGCAGAGGGTCAAGGATTGCAGCCTTAAATATGGATTGAAGCTGAAGTCCAAGAAAAAAAAGTTTTTCACCATTGGGCCAATTGACAGCATCATGATAGATGGTGAGGAGATCGAGATTGTTAACAGCTTCAGTTTGCTTGGATCCACAATAAACACTCTTGGTACTAACAGCCAGGAACTTAAAAGACAAATTGTATTGGGAATGCCTGCTGTCAGGGACCTCTCCAGAGTACTAGAGAACAATGATGTCAGTCTGGAGACCAAGGTGTGCCTGATCCAGGCCACAGTCTTCACAGTTACTTGCTATGTATCAAAAAGCTGGACAATGACTAGAGATGACAGAAGGAGAATTGATGCCTTTCAGATGTAGTGCTGGAGAAGAGTGTTGAATATACAATTGATGGCTAAGAGAATAAAAAAGATCATTCTAGAGAGGATGAAACCTGGCTACTCCTTGAAGGAAAGGATTCTGAAGTTCTGTCTCACATATATTGGTTATGTTGCAAGGACGGACCAATCCTTGGAGAGGGACATCGTACTTGGGAGGGTGGGGGGACAGCGCAAGAGAGGAAGACCCTCTATGAGATAGATTGACTCATTGACTGAGGTAATGAGGATTGGCGTGTCAGAAACAATAAGGTTGGCTCAGGATAGAACAGCGTTCAGAGCTGTGGTATATAGGGTTACTATGAGTCACAAGTGACTTGACGGCATATAATAAAAACCCTATCTTATTGCTCCAGTGATAAGAATTTTGTTTTCTTGATGTTGAAGTGCAATCCATATTAAAGGCATATTCTTTGATCTTGGGCAGCAAGTGTTTCAAGACCTTCTCACTTTCAGCAAGCAAGGATGTGTTATCTACATGTTGTTGTAGTTGATGTTATGTGCCGTCAAACTCTGCTCTGTCCTGTGCCAATAACACTGTCTCCAGTACACCCACCCCAATTACCCCAGTCACTGAATCAATCCACCTCATAGAGGGCCTTCCCCTCCTGTGCCATCCTTCCACCTTCCCAAACATGATGTCCCTGTCCAAGGACTGGTCCCTTCTTACAACATGTCCAGAACATGTCAGACAAAGCCTCAGAATCCTTGCCTCCAAGAAGCCACCTGGTTTAACCCTCTCTAGGATGAATCTGTTTGTTAGCAGTCCATGGTACCCTCAACACAGTTCTCCAGCACCACAGCTCAAAGGCATCAATTCTCCTTTGATCTTCCCTAGTCATTGTCCAACTCTCTGACTCATAACAAGTGATTGCAAAGACCATGGCCTGTATCAGACACACCTTAGTCTTCAGAGAGACACCATTGCTCATCAGTACTTTGAGAGGTCCCTAAAAGCAGACTTTCCCATCACAGTACGTCTTTTAATTTCCTGGATGCTAGTGCCAAGAGTGTTGACTGTGGAGTCAAGCAAACTAAAGCTGTGAACAGTCTCAATCTCTTCACCATCCATCTTGATGCTGCCAGTTGGTCCAGTGGTGAGAATCTTTGTCTTCTTGATATTGAGCCTCAATCCATAATTCAAGGCTGCAGTCCTTGACCCTCTGCAGCAGGCACTTCAGGTCCTCCTCAGTTTCAGCAAACAAGGTTGTGTTATCAGCATAACACAGAGTGTTGATAGATCTTCCACCAATCCTGACACCACATTTCTCCTCATACAGCCCAGCCTCCCAGATAATCTGTCCTGCATATAGATTGAAAAGGTATGGAGATAGGACACATCCCTGGCGTATGCCCTTTCCAATTTTGAACCATGCAGTATTTCCTTGCTCTGTTCTGACAACTGCCTCTTGGTCCAAATAGAGGTTTGGCATTTGCACAATCAAGTGTTCTGGGATTCCCATTCTTCTCAGAGTCAGCCACAGTTTGTTATGATCCACACAGTCAAATGCCTTTGCATAGTCAATGAAACACAGATAGACATTCCTCTGGTATTCCCTGCTTTCAGCTAGGATCCATCTAACATTAGCTACAATATCCCTAGTACCACGACTCCTTCTAAACCCAGACTGGACTCCGGACAATTCTCTGCTGATGGGCTGTTTTAGTCGTTTTTGGATAATCTTCAGTAGAATCTTGCTTGCATGTGAAATCAATGATATTGTTCTATAGTTTCCACACGCTGTTGGGTCACCCTTCTTTGGAATGGGAACAAATATAAATCTCTTCCAGCTAGTTGGCCAAGTTACATAAGACAGGTTATTGATGAGCCTTCCTTGGATCTTGATGCTAAATTCTTCTTTATAGATTCCAGCTTCTTGAATAATTTGCTAAACATACAGATTGAACAGGTATGAAAAGAGGATAAAACCCTGACACACTTGTTTCTTAATTTTAGACCGTGTAGTGTTCCCTTGTTACCTCTTGGGTGGGGTCCCGCCTCCTGGGCCTTCTCTTCCCTTCTCAAATGCCTTTCACGCTGCACTCTGCCTCCCAAGCTTGCCCCAAGAGTTGCAGACTCCTTCTTGATTATGCAAGGTGCCTTGATTATACCTTTGATTATGCAAAGGCGTTTGACTAAGTGGATCACAACAAACTGTGGCTAACTCTGAGAAGAATGGGGATCCCAGAACACTTGATTGTGCTAATACGAAACCTATACTTGATCCAGGGGGCAGTCATCAGAACAGAGAAAGGAAACACTGCATGGTTCAAAATTGGAAAGGGCATACGCCAGGGATGTGTCCTATCTCCATACCGTTTCAATCTATATGCAGAACAGATTTTCCGGGAGGCTGGGCTGTATGAGGAGAAATGTGGTATCAAGATTGGAGGAAGACTCATCAACAATCTGCATTATGCAGATGACACAACCCTGCTTGCTGAAACTAAGGAGGACCTAACGTGCTTGCTACAGAACGTCAAAGACTGTAGCCTTCAATATGGATTGAGGCTCAATATCAAGAAAACAAAGAGCCTCACTACTGGGTCAAGGGGCAGCATCATGATAGATGGTGAAGAGATTGAGATTGTTAACTGCCTTAGTTTGCCATCCAGGAAATCAGAAGATGTATTGCAATGGGAAAGTCTGCCGTTAGAGACCTCTCCAAAGTACTGAAGAGCAGTGGTGTCACTCTGGAGACTAAGGGGTGCCTGACACAGGCCATGGTGTTCGCAGTCACTTGCTATGTGTTAGAGAGCTGCACAATGACTAGGGATGATAGGTGGAGAATTGAGGCCTTTGAGCTGTGGAGTGGGAGAAGAGTATTGAATACCATGGACTGCTAAGAGAACAATCAGGTTCATTTAGAGAGAATTAAACCAGACTGCTCTTTGGAGGCAAGGATTCTGAAGCTTTATCTGACATATTTTGGACATTGCAAAGAGAGACCAGATCTTGGAGAGGGACATCATGCTTGGAAGTGTGGAGGGACAGTGTAGGAGAGGAAGACCCTCTATGAGATGGATTGATTTCAATGACTGAGGTAACGGGGGGTGGGTGTGTCAGAGACAGTGAGATTGGCACAGGATTAAAGCAGGATTTAGGACTGTTGTACATAGGGTCCCTATGTGTCGCAAGTGACTCAATGGCACATAACAACAACAACAACAGTGTTCCCTTGCTCTGTTCATAACACAGCCTCTTGTTCTAGATATAGATTTCATATAAGCACATTTTGGTGTTCTGGAATTCCTATTCTTCTCAACGTTAGCCTTAACTTGTTCTTATTATGATCCACACAGTCAAATGCTTTTGCATAGTCAATAAAGCATATTACAGCAATAAAGACATTCTTCTGGTACTCTTTACTTTCAGCCAAGATCCATCTGACATCAGCAGTGATATCCCTGGTTCCACAGCCTCTTGTGAATCTTGCTTGAACTTCTGGTGGTTCCCCATCTGTGTACCGTTTTAGCCATTTTTTAATAATCTTAGCAGTATTTTCTTTGCATGTGATAATACTGTTCAGTAGTTTCCACATTATGTTGGATCACCTTTTTTGGGAATGGGAACAAATATGGAAACAATAAATAAAAATGACAGAAGAAAAAAATGATGCCTTTGAACTGTAGTGTTTGAGAAAAGTGCTTAATATCCCATGGACTGCTAAAAGAAACAAATGTGTCTTGGAGAAAGTACAGTCAGTGTTGATTGAAGGCAAAGATGATTAAGCTTCATCTCACATATTTTGGACATGTTGCTAGAGGAGGCTATTCCTTGGAGAGGGAAATCATGCTTGGAAAAGTGTAGGGTTGGTAAGAGAGGAATACTCTGAAGCAGCTGGCTTGCAATGGACTTGTGTCAGGAAATGCAACAATGGCAAAGGATAGGACAGGGTTCTATCTTTTGTTCATAGGGTGGCTATGGGACCTACTCGACTTGATGGCACCTAACAACAAAAACAATCTACGTCCTAAAAAATGAGCCATTGAAAACATCATGGAGCAAAATTCTGCTTGGACACTTGGGATTACATTCAATCAGAAGTGACTGAGAAGTGATTGATTGGGTTCTGGTTGGGGAGCAAGTTTGGTTTGTCAGTCATTTTCCCCTGAGACTCTCATTTCTGGTTTTTCAGGACTCTTCACTGGTATAAGATAAGAAGCCAAAGAAAGTGGATCAGGTCAGGCAATTCCAAAAGAGATGGCCCAGGTAAGTTGAAATTTTCTCTATCCCTAAAATAATCTTTTCTTTTTCTCCATGTAATGTGAATGTTTGTGGGGAGTTTTCACAAATTCTGTCCCTGTCTTGCTTATCCTCATTTCATAATCTGTTCTCATCCTTTCTCTTAGCATATATTAGTGTGTATATACATAGAGATATCTGGTGGAAAGTCAATAGGGAGTTCCACTGATAACCTAAAAGGAGGCAGTTTGAATCCACCAGCTGCTCTGAGGGAGAAAGATGGACAGACTCTTTCAAAGCTGTTTGTTTATAGCCTCCGAAAACCACTGAAGAGTCAGCTATGGGTCAGTTCCAACTCAATAGCAGTGAGTTTGAATTTGTATGTGTGTGTATATGTATATTCTGTGTGTGTGTGCGTGTGTGTGTGTGTGTATATTCCATGTTGTTGCTGTTATGTGTTGTTGAGTTGCTTGCATCTCATAGTGACCCTATGTACAATAGCCCTGAAACCTGCTCTGTCCTGTGCCAGCTTTACTGTCTCTGACACACCTACCCTCATTACCCCAGTCACTGCATCAATTCATCTCATGGATGGTCTCCCTCTCTTTCTCCATCCCTCTGCCCTCCCAAGCATGATGTCCCTCTACAAGGACTGATCCCTCCTTGCAGCATGCCCAAAGTATGTCAGACAAAGCCTCAGAATCCTTGCCTCCAAGGAGCAACATGGCTTCACCCTCTCTAGATGAACCTGTTTGTTCTCCTGTCAGTCCATGGTATTCCATATGTGTGTATTTTATATGTATATACACACACATACATATACATACATACATACATACATATATATACAAAAAAGATATGACATACATATATATGCATACATATACACATATATACATATATTTATACACATACACATGCAAAAAGATATGGAGTGCTGATGGCCTAGTGGCAAGAAGCTGTGCTGCAGTACCAAAGGCATGCAGGTAGTCTCCTCCTGAAAACCCACCAAAGGGTCAGCTATAGGTCAGTTCCAGTTCAACTACACAACAACAACATGTTTGTATATTTATTACACACACAAACATATAAAATAAACACCAGTATGTTTATCACTAGATGACTATAGTATACAAGAAACCTACGTTCTCTTTCCTGATCATATCCTTTTCCCACCAGTAGTATGGACCACTTTTAATTTTCTGTTTATCAATCCTTTGATTTTTGTAATAGTTTTATTACTAATGAATGTTAGTGAACACAAAGGGTTCTTTCTGTAGTCACTTGCCAATAAGAAAGACAAATTACAATATCAAAAGCACTTTATTGAAGATTTGGGAGAGCAGAGAGACTTTTCTCAAAAACTGCCTCCCCAGTGAAGGATATTTATTCGTTTTTATACTTGGGTTAGGTGTTATATCACTTAACAAATTACAATGCTAGTTCAAAGCTACAGGATTAGGATGGTTCAACATAAGGAAAACAATCAATGTAATTCATCACATCAACAAGGCAAAGAACAAGAACCATATGGTCCTATCAATTGATGCAGAAA